GCGACGCATGCGCAGAATCTGACCATGAGGACACGTTTCCTGCGAGAAGGCGCCACTTCCGGTTTCTTTTCGTTTCGAATAGCAGACGAAAATTCTCGCGCTTCTTGAGCGCCAACCTCGAGCGATGGCGTAGATGCACCTTTCACGACGAAAACTCGCGCTTGTTCTGTCGGTGCACCACCTGCGCCGCAAGCGTAGGCGGTCAATGTACATACGGTACTCCATTGACAAGCGCACGGTCTACGGTACTCAAGCTTCCTCGTGACGTAGACACACGGGTGAGGACGAATTCCCTATATGAGCTTCTCGACCGACCGAGTCCGATTTTTCAAACATGACGCCACACGGAGTGGTGCTCCCGTCGTCTGCTATTGCTCGTATTCGCCGCGCTTCAGGCGCGAGGGCTGCCGGAAGCCAGCGCGTGATGCATCCTTGTCCGGCGTCGCTGGCGCGGCCGGCGCGGAATACGGCATGCTCCATTTTGGCGTCGAGGCGGTCAGGCTGCGTCGAACGCCGCCGGTTGCGTCGGTTACGCCACGACGCCGGAGACGTCGCTGTGACGCGCTCGCACGCGCGCACGCGTTACGTTGGAGTATAACAGAGCCTTTAGCCTGTACTCACCAGGTGTTAACAGCCGATGTTATCAGTCACGTACGCGGCGCGTGTCAGCAGCGTGGGAAAGACACGTATCAGAGATGTCGTCACCACGGCTCCCATTACGTGATGTTAACCACGTGATTTTCCCCGGGTTCGAGTTGCATCCGACAGAGGGCGCTCACATGATGTCCTCGCTAGAGTGCCTTCATACACACGCGCGCCTTTGCTTGAGTGGTGACATCTCAGCCATTTTTCCGCTCAATTGTTTTTCATACCTTTTGAAGTGCGCGCAATCCGGTGTCACTCAGCTCGAGCGTGTAGCTTTGGCTAATGCATAGACGCCATTTTACCGCCCAAGTCATGCACCGAGTGCGCGAGAGCGTCACGCGCTGGCACATTCAGTGCAACAATGGATGTCTTCCCCCTGAGACAGACAGACATGCAGGCACCCTAGTCCTCGCAGCGTTCGTGTTTTCCCCGGGTTTGAGTTGCATTCGACAGAGGGAGCTCACGTGATGTCACATAGCGTTCATGTTGAATCCGAAAAAAGGGCGCTACGCCGCGCTCACATGGCGGTCACGTGACATTATTTGAATCGCTGCGCGGTAAACGATTTTGATTCGCTAAAAAAGGCTCTGCGGCGGCTGGGAATCGACATTGTGCACTGCAGCACGACACTCTACCCCCCTGACCTAGAAGCACATTGCTTCCTAGAGGGCTTGTCTCGTCTTAGTTGTCCGTGTGTGCAAATCAGATGACGTGTTTTCCATCTACTTGGCTTTTCTAATATGGGTAAAAAATAAACCCCACAGGATATGAATGCGTCATATCGCAGGTCTTGTGACGATGTCGTTATCCGTATTTCGCGCAAGTCAGATCACGTGTTAAAGCTGTCCTGCTACTCGGTTTATGCAATCTGGTCTTCAACCCGCTAAATTTGGGCGTCATGTGACGGTCCCAAAGGGCACCAGCTGGGTCTGCTCAATTGGGGGATGAGGTGACGGTAAAAATTTGGAGCTCGCGGATCGTGATATATCTTGGTCCAGCGTAAAGCTTTAAACTAGCACTGCTAAAATTTGGGGCCAGCCCGTAAAACTTTGTAAAGACCCAGCGAATTTCGAAAATAGGCGCCATCTAGTGTTCAAACTGTGAAGTGGTCCGCGTTAAAATTGAGTGCCATCTGGTTGTAAAAGCTTCGACCTGCTATAAATTTTGGGCGTCATGTGATGGTCCCAATTAGCACCAGCTGGGTGCCGCTAAATTTGGGGTGAGGTCACGGCAAAACTTTGAAGCTGGCGGACCGTGTTATTTGTTGGGCCAACGTAAAGCTTTGAAGTGAACTTGCGTAATTTTGCGGGCCAGCGCAAAGTCTTGAAGCACACAAACCATGCCGGACCCAGTGATTTATTTTTTTTAATTTTTTGGATAGACACCATTTAGTGTTAGAGCTTTGAAGAGTTAAATGCTAAAATTGCTGACATCTGGTGGTAAAAGCTTCGACCCGCTAAATTTGGACGTCATCTGGAGATACCCTTAGCACCAGCTGGGTGCCGCTAAATTTTTGACTGGGGTCCCACGGTAAAACGTTAAAGTTCACAAGCCGTGCTACATCTTCGCCCCAGCGTAAAGCATTCAAGTGGTCCTGCTAAATATCGGGTTCCAGCGAAAACTTTGAGAAGCTCACAGACCGTGCTGGACCCAGTGAATTTTGGGATAGACGTCATCTAGGGTTAGAACTTCGAAGCGCTCATCGCTAAAATTGCTCACATCTGGTGGTAGAAGCTTCAACCCGGTAAATTTGGGCGTTACGTGATGGTTCCTTAGCACATGTGGCAAGCTGCATCCATCTAATTTTGAGGGGTGACGGTAAAATTTTGAAGCTCACGAACCGTGCTAAGTTCAAGCCCAGCGTAAAGTTTTGAAATAGCACTGCCATATTTTCGGGCTAGCGGAGTGGATGTGACCTTGCGACATCTTTTGCGGAAAAGGTAAATTGCTTGTATTTCTAAGTTGTGCTCATCCGTATTTTCACGCTGGTGCAAGTCCGGACTTTGTGTGGATGAGTTGCCAATTCCGTTTGTACATGGCGCGTACGTGAATCCCTTAGCTGGCGTGAACGTTTAGCATTATCGCGCGACATCTCTCGCAAAATTTAGCTTAGTAGATGGCCTCCACTCTCTCTCTCGCGCGCATGATATCTCTCGATAATTTTAGCGTCATCTGTCTGCTGAACGGAGCAGTGTGGGAAATGGAACGGAGCGTGGGCGCTTCCACACGCGCTAAAGACGAGACTGATATGGTGTTTCATTTTTTTTTATTCTCGTTCGCTCTAAGAGCACGCACACTTATATATTCAGACTCGGCGTTTAAATTCACTCTACACAACAAAGACATCATTGGAAATACTTTACACAAAAAATGTACAACAGAAGCAGTTTAAAGACAAATCCGAGGCAAAAAAGTTGTGAAATGACATCTCAAGAGCAACGCGCGCGAGACAGTCCAAAAACATTTACGAGGTCAGGATCTTCGACGATGAGAGAGATCGCTCGCTTCCGTACACTATCGGATCATAGAAGAAAAAAAAGTACAAAAATACAAGATATTTCAAGACACACCGACGGCAAAAAGTTTGGGAAATGACATCTCGCGAGGAATGCGGTACACAGTCTAAAAACTATTCACAAAGTCAGGGCGTGCGATGAGGATATAAAGATGGCTTGCTTCCCGGAACGCTCTTTTGGCGGGCGCAGCTTTGTGGGGGATCCTCTCCAGCCTGGACTGACAGATGGCATACCGAAAGCTGTAAAGAAAATCCGATAGGGCGTGCAAGTAGATCGGCTTTTCTTTTACCCACCGAACGCATTGACATTTTTCCGCCCTTTTTCCAACCAATGTCGGCGAACGCGTTTCTGCCAAGTCATCCTTTAGGTACCACAGCATAACGTTCTATACGGATTTCTCACCGATGAGGAGGTGACACGAAGTATCAGCTGTTATTCGCTGTCCACATAGTCATCCTCCGCACCACTATCGTCATCTGAAAAAGAAAAAGAAAAGTGGATGAAGCTATCAAGCTGTACATACGTGACTCACCAGTCCGCAGTGGCAGCAGGTGCTCAGGCGCTATCAGATGATCCCGTACAAATTCTCGCACCTGATGCGTCGCCTCGGCCGCCCCGGCAGCCTAGCGGGATCCACCCAACCCAGCCCAAAACTGTAAAGTCCGGAAGCGGGCCGTCAATTGTTGTACAATGTCAGAGGGTGAAAAATACGATAGGAGCATCCCGCAAGGGCAGATATGCTCACCGAAGGCGACCGCAAGGGTCACCTACATTTGCATCGCCAAGTATGCAAATAGAGGTGGTTGTATATCTCTCCCGGGATCAACTTCTTCCTCGTCCCAGTTTTCTCCTTCACCCGAGCCGTAGTAGTGGAGGAGTTGCGGATAGACAAACGCAATGATGTGCTCCAAAGACCGAGGGTTTCTTTGCCGAAAACACGCGATGAAGTGAGAATGTACAACATCAAAGACTCGCTGTCCCTCCTCTGCCATCTTTAAAACTATGGGGTAGTTGTGAGGCTGCCTTTGGGTAGTGCGACCGCGAGTTAGTTTCTACCCCTATTTAATACAAACCTTTTCCTTAGGTGCAAGACGTGCGTCTTGGAAGTACATGCAAATGAGATCCAGATAGTTAACATCGCATGAAGGTTGTCGTCTCACACGTCTGCAACAATCGCCCGTCGAGGAAGTGCGCGCGCGATATATCCCTGGCTAATAGGACTTTTTTTTGTTTCGATATCTGAAAAGCTCACCGATACAACGCCGTCAGAGTCGATGAAGCGCTTTTTGTCAGACGGATTGAGTCCTATCTTCTCCATAACAGCAGTCTTGTTCTCGCACATCTTACGAGCGATAGTCCGCTGCGTGATCTTGTGCAGAGTTTGTTGCTCGAGAGATTGAACGTACAACTCGTAGGTTAGCTTACGGGACTCGCACCTTTACACTCCTTTCGCCCTCACGTAGTGTTGTCAACACAACCTATTTAATTTGAACATAAAAAAGTCACATTCCGAGCTTTCGATAGGCGACCAAACATGTCTAGACTTGTTCCTGTTAGGTACGTGCTTGGGTAAACATTGTGATTTGGATATACGTTCGGGCGTCGCTATAAACCGCACTGTTGCGACGCGTGTGAGCCTTCATCGTGAAGCAAAAGCCGCGCGAGTGCTCCTGTTATCGCGCGGTCAGCTCCGAGCTTGGGGAGCATCCGCTTTTTCTTTTTATCGGTTATCCTTCGTTGGGTACACATTGTGATTTGGGTATATGTTCGGGCGCCACTATAAACCGCACTGTTGCGACGCGTGTGAGCATTTATCGTGAAGCAAAGGCCGCGCGAGTATCCCGCCGCGCGGGAATGTGCTTCGCGCGAGTACTTGGAAACGTGTCTGCGTCGCGATGCCTTCTTTTCACTCGTCTACGAGTGTAGCATGCACCGACATGTCTTCGGGCCTGGACAAATTTCGTTTCCAAACGCCGGCGTCAATCACGATGATTGGATCCTCTAAATCGGCCAAAAGTACGTATATTCGCAAATTGTTGAGATTTAGAAGAGAAATGTCCGACAAAGAGTTTCACGTCGTCTACTACGTTTTTGGGTTTCCCCAGAGCTGGGGTTTGAGTGGTTTTTGCTTCTTTTCAGCCACTGTCTTGTTTTGGTTGCTTACTGGCAGTATCGTAGGACTTGTATCGGTGAGCTTTTCAGATATCGAAACAAAAAAAGTCCTATTAGCCAGGGATATACCGCGCGCGCGCTTCCTCGACGGGCGCTTGTTGCAGTCGTGTGAGACGTTAACAACCTTCATGCGATGTTAACTATCTGGATCTCATTTGCATGTACTTCCAAGAAGCACGTCTTGCACCCAAGGAAAAGGTTTGTATTAAATAGGGGTAGAAACTGACTCGCGGTCGCACTACCCAAAGGCAGCCTCATAACTACCGCATCGTTTTAAAGATGGCAGAGGAGGGACACCGAGCCCTTGATATTGTACTTTCTCACTTCATCGAGCGTTTTCGGCAAAGAAACCCTCGGTCTTTGGAGGACATCATTGCGTTTGTCAATCCGCAACTCCTCCACGACTACGGCACGGGTGAAGGAGGAAACTGGGACGAGGAGGAAGTCGATCCGGGGAGAGATATAGAACCACCTCTATTTGCATACTTGGCGATGCAAATGTCGGCGACCCTTGCGGTCGCCTTCGGTGAGCATATCTGCCCTTGCGGGATGCTTCTATCGTATTTTTCACCCTCTGACCTTGTACAACAATTGACGGCCCGCTTCCGGACTTTACAGTTTTGGGATGGGTTGGGTGGATCCCGCGAGGCTGCCGGAGCGGCCGAGGCGACGCATGAGGTGCGAAAATTTGTGCGCGATCATCTGACAGCGGCTGAGCACCTGCTGCCAGTGCGGACTGGTGAGTCACGTATGTACAGCTTGATAGCTTCATCCACTTTACTTTTTCTTTTTTCAGATGACGATAGTGGTGTGGAGGATGACTATGTGGACAGCGAATAACAGCTGATACTTCGTGTCACCTCCTCAACGGTGAGAAATCCGTGTAGAACGTTATGCTGTTGTACCTAAAGGATGACTTGGCAGAAACGTGTTCGCCGACATTGGTTGGAAAAAGGGCGGAAAAATGTCAATGTGTTTGTGTGGGTAAAAGAAAAGCCGATCAACTTGCACGCCCTATCGGATTTTCGTTACAGCATTCGGTATGACATCTGTCGGTCCAGGCTGGACAGGATCCCCCACAAAGCTGCGCCTGCCAAAAGAGCGTTCCCGGAAGCAAGCGATCTTCATATCCTCATCGCACGCCCTGACTTTGTGATTAGTTTTTAGACTGTGTACCGCATTGCTCGCGAGATGTCATTTCCCAAACGTTTTGCCGTCGGTGTGTCTTGAAACATCTTGTATTGTTGTACATTTTTTTTCTATAATCCGATAGTGTAAGGAAGCGAGCGATCTCTCCTCGTCGAAGATCCTGACCTCGTAAATATATTTGGACTGTCTGGCGCGCGTTGCTCGTGAGATGACATTTCACAACTTTTTGCCTCGGATTTGTCTTGAAACTGCTTCTTTTGTATACATTTTTTGTGCAAAGTATTTCCAATTATGTCTTTGTTGCGTAGAGTGAATTTAAACGCCGAGTCTGAATTTATACGTGTGCGTGCTCTAAGAGCGAACGAGAATAAAAAAAAAAATTAAACACCATATTAGTCTCTTCTTTAGAGCGTACGGATGCGCCCACGCTCCGTTCCATTTCCCACACTGCTCCGTTCAGCAGACAGATGACGCTAAAATTATCGAGAGATATCATGCGCGCGCGAGAGAGAGTTGACGCCATCTACTAAGCTGACGCTAAATTTTGCGACAGATGTCGCGCGATAATACTAAACGTTCACGCCAGCTAAGGGATTCAGTTGCGTGCCATGTACAAGCGGAATTGGCAACTCACACGCACAAAGTCCGGACTTGCGCCAGCGTGAAAATACGGATGAGCACACCTTAGAAATGCAAGAAATTCACCTTTTCCGCAAAAGATGTCGCAAGGTCACACCCACTCCTCTAGCCCGAAAATATGGCAGTGCTACTTCAAAACTTTACGCTGGGTCTGAACGTATCACGGTCCGTGAGCTTCAAAATTTTACCGTCATCCCTCAAAATTAGATGGATACAGCTTGCCACATGTGCTAAGGAACCATCACGTAACGCCCAAATTTACCGGGTCGAAGCTTCTACCACCAGATGTGAGCAATTTTAGCGATGAGCGCTTCGAAGTTGTAACCCTAGATGACGTCTATACCGAAATTCACTGGGTCCAGCACGGTCTGTGAGCTTTTCAAAGTTTACGCTGGAACCCGATATTTAGCAGGGCCACTTGAATGCTTTACGCTGGGGCGAAGATGCAGCACGGCCTGTGAACTTCAAAGTTTTACCGTGGGACCCCAGTCAAAAATTTAGCGCCACCCGGCTGGTGCTAAGGGAATCTTCAGATGACGTTCAAATTTAGCGGGTCGAAGCTTTTACCACTAGATGTCAGCAATTTTAACATTTAACTCTTCAAAGCTCTAACACTAGATAATGTCTATCCAAAAAATTAAAAAAAAAAAAATCACTGGGTCCGGCATGGTTTGTGTGCTTCAAGACTTTGCGCTGGCTCGCAAAATTACGGAAGTTCACTTCAAAGCTTTACGTTAGCCCAACAATTAACACGGTCCGCCAGCTTCAAACTTTTGCCTTGACCTCACCCCAAATTTAGCGGCACCCAGCTGGTGCTAATTGGGACCATCACATGACGCCCAAAATTTATAGCAGGTCGGAGCTTTTTCCACCAGATGGCACTCAATGTTAACGAGGACCACTTCACAGTTTGAACACTAGATGGCGCCTATTCCCGAAATTCGCTGGGTCTTTACAACGTTTTACGGGCTGGCCCCAAATTTTAGCAGTGCTAGTTTAAGGCTTTACGCTGGACCAAGATATATCACGATCCGCGAGCTCCAAAATTTTACCGTCACCTCACCCCCCAATTGAGCAGACCCAGCTGGTGCCCTTTGGGACCGTCACATGACGCCCAAATTTAGCGGGTCGAAGACCAGATTGCATAAACCGAGTAGCAGGACAGCTTTAACACGTGATTTGACTTGCGCGAGATACGGATAACGACATCGTCACATGACCTGCGATATGACGCATTCATATCCTGTGGGGTTTATTTTTTACCGATATTACAAAAGCCAAGTAGCGGGAAAACACGTGATCTGATTTGCACACACGGACAACTAAGACGAGATAAGCCCTCTAGGAAGCAATGTGCTTCTAACTCAGGGGGTACACTGTTGGGCTGCTGCGCACAAGGTCGATTCCAAGCCGCCGCAGAGCCTTTTTTAGCGAATAAAAGTCGTTTACCGCGCAGCGATTCAAATAATGTCACGTGACCGTCATGTGAGCGCGGCGTAGCGCCCTCTGTCGGATTCAACACGAACGCTATGTGACATCACGTGAGCTCCCTCTGTCGTGACTGGTAACATCGGCTGTTAACACCTGGTGATTACAGGCTAAGTGTCGCGTACGTGGCACGCGCCGCTACGTGACCGCGTACGTGAATCGAGGGCGGGACCTCGATGAGCTCCGATTGGTCACTGGCTAATGCACGGTGGGCGGGGCCATCCATGCCAACGGCCTGTCATTGGTCACTGTGATGGAAGAGAGGGATGGGGCCCCGCCCTACTGCTCTGTGACTGGTCGGATTGGGCTTGGCCCCGCCCTGCTGCGTTGTGATTGGTCGGATCGGGTTTGGCTCCGCCCTCCTGGGCTTTGAACATGTGACAGTAATGGGTCTCGCGGCCTCAAGGCGACGAGGCAGCGAACACCGTTTGAATCGCCCGCGCGAAATCACGTGATAGGAAGACGAGCAGCGTCACACGACCATGGACACATGACCTGCGGCAACGACGCATCCTGTTTTTAACCGTATCACAAAAGCCAAGTAGCGCGCGGGACATCACGTGATCTGAATTGAACACACACACACACGCACAACTAAGACGATTTAAGCGGTTTTGGAAGCAATGTGCTCGTAGCTCTTTTTTGGGGGGGCTATCAGCCTGAGCGGACGTGCTCATGAATCGCTCCCCTCAAGCGGCGGCGGCCGTGATCGGCCTCGGTGAAACGAGTGTTAACTTTTTGCCTAAAGATTACCGTCTGCAACTGCCTGCACTACCCACCGGAGGTGCTGCAAAGCTCAGCGTGATACTTCACGCCGACCTGCAAGGTTGACCGTATCGGATTGAGGACTTCCGACAGCCGTTGAACAAGGTGGGCGTTCTGCCGGGCGTGGCTGGTCTGGGCGCTTTCCAGATGAGCCACGTCTGGCTTCTCAAGTTGCACACGCCGGAAGACAAGGCGAAGCGGCACATTGATACTTTAGACCCATGTTGTTGTAAAAAAAACTATCTCCAAACTCCGGTCTAAAAACATGCTTTTCGTGCAAGGCTCGTCAAATGATGAGGTGCTGGAGAAATGCAGCATTCTGCGTTAAGTCCTTATTTCGAACTCTTTTTGCTCGCCTTCCGCCCATTGAAACGCATGCGGGAAGGGCCTTAGAACGCACCTGGTATCGCTGCGCCGCAGCGTTCTTCCGCATCAAAAAGTTCGTCTGCTTTCCTCGCCGTCACCATGGCAACGAACGCCGAATGAATAGAAGCGAGCACGGTACCGCCGCGTGAAGCCAGCAACAGCTGACGCCATTTTCCGAACGCCGTCTGCTAGCCACAGCCGAACGCGGTGTGTCAGATCAACCGCCTCCGCCGGTGCGCCGCTAGCAAAGACGACGAAGCTAAGACACGCCGACGGCGATCGAGCAAGCAACAACACCGCGGGGCGACTGCAACGGCGGCATTTATTCGGATCAAAGGCCGCCTTCGCCGGTGCGCCGCTAGCAAAGACGCCGAAGCTGAGGCACGCCGACGGCAAATGGGCGAGCAACAGCACCGCGGGACGACTGCAACTGCGGCATTTATTCGGATCAAAGGCGCGAAATAAGCAAGAACAATTTTTATTTGAATCATAACACCCGATATCCAAGTTGGGGACCACATATGTTTGCAGGGCCTTTCCTGTGAACTTTTTACAGAGACACGGGGTGCCGCATTCAAAACACAGCTCCGTTTGCAAAATATGGGGGCCCTGAAAAGGACCGTTTAGACTGCTCCCAGAACCTATAACTGACGTAACGAGCACTTGACGAGCGGTTGGCGCATAAGTCGTCTTTATGCATGCAGGCAGGTGGCGGGCTCAGCGCAGCGGATCACTCGAAGTCACCGGGGCCGTCAGAATCCTCACCCTGTCTGCGTCGGGGCTCTAGATTTTGGCGGCCGCGGCGACGGACGACTGGAATCTATTAGTGTTCTCTCCTCCAAAACATAAACTTTGCAAGGTGACCAGTGAAATGGTGGCTCTCGCGCCGTCCAGATGGAAGAGAGTTTTTGAGGTGGGCCCAGGTGCAATCCACCGTATTGGTGTGCGCACCAGTGTTCGCGTCGACAAAGTGCAGCTTGTGGCTGACGGTGAGGTGCCTGAAGCGAGCGTCATCTGCAAGCTTGCGATAGCCAGCCCAACAATCAGTGATTATAGACCCTTTCCGAAATTCAGTGCCATCTGGTGGATGAAATGGCGGTTTAACTTTTGCCATACGAATGGCGGCAATGAACCCGTAGCCTGCAGTATTTTATCGGGCACCGTCACTTTTGCATGTCAACGGCAGACGAGAATAAACTTTTTGCTATACAGGTTTTTCTGGATCATCTCTTCCAGTGTCGATTTACACAACGATGCAACCAGTCAGAACGAAGCGCCAAGTCAAGGGGTTTCGAAGTCGATTTTGTGCCACTAACAGGTTCACTGGGCTCGAACTAGAGAAATGAACACTTACGCAGCGCTTGCATTCGATTCCGGTTTCGCAACGTGCTAACGTCTAGAATGTATAGGCCTCGAATCCTCAGCTTAGAAGTATCTTCAACATGTTCCTTCATCAGTAATTAGAAAGCCGCCATTCGTATGGCACATATACCATTTTTCAGATGGTGATGATAGTGATCAAAGTGGCCAGACTGAATTTCGGAAAGGGTCTATTCTTGTTTCAGGGCGGACCCACTCGGCTATTAGCCCTTGCACGGTTTTAGCGTCACGGGTTTCCACGGGAACAAGAAAGCTGCACCCGCTGCAACGCGCCACACCGCCGAAAACCCACTGGCCAGGCCTTAAACACCCGCGATGGTACTTGTGCCGACCCAACATACTCTCGTCTAGTTCTACAGTCACGCTTTCGCCACCAATCATGTCAGAATGCTTAAAGACGGCATTTACCA